TTTTCCCCTGACAATGTAAGTGAAACGTTTTAATTACAATAAATCAATTGCTTTCAATTTAAAAAATATATATATATTTGTAAAAAAAGCACATTGATTTTTCACCACTGACCTCTATGGAAAATCACAAATAAAGTATAAGTGGAGCAAAAATATATTATGAAGAAAAAAAATTCTATTTTAAATCAAATTTTATGGAAAGAAAATTTTTTGTAAAAACAAAGGAAGAAAGAATTAAAAGTTTTAATATTTTCATGAAAAAATTAATTTTAATACCTAATTTTAATTAACTTTGAACTTAGGGATTGAAAATAATAAATAAAATGAAAATATTTAAATAGAATAATTTTTTCTGTAAGCCCAATAATACTAAATAAAGAAATAAAAATGAAATAATAAAATATTTTAAATATTAAATAAAATAATAAATCATAAAATATAATAAATAAAATAAAAACGACTGTATTGGTAATGATTTTAATTTATTAAAAAACAAACATCATTATCCTGATTAAAAAAATTATGCATTCCATGAAAATGAATGTAATAATAATAATAATGAGAAAAAACGTAGGCGAAAACAAATGTAATATCTCTTTTTAATAATTTAAATAATGAATTTTAAATTTTAATACTGACAATTTGTTATTTGTATTTTTAATATGAAACAAGAAGTTTTCTCAACATGCAAATTCATAAAAATTATAAATTTTCAATATGGAAATTTTTCATTCTTTCAAAATGTGTAATAATTTTTTTTAAAAAAACGTTTCTTTAGTAACGGATATACTTTATTTTTTTAGTGCACAAAAATAGCTTATAGAGCACGCATACATATATATCTATAAAAAAAAGTTTATATTACGGTGTGAAAAATATTTTCCATGAAAACTTTTAACTTTTGGTGCAATCTTTTTAAGAATTTCAATATCCATAAAACGTGAGACATGATTCTTTAGCACAAAAGAAAATTTTTTTTTCTCCATATCTTTAAAAACGTTTAGAGTATTTATAAACATTATATGATTTCTTTTTTTTTTTTTTTTTTTGAATTAACTCTATATTTAAATAAAAAATAGAGGTTTTTTGTAAATATAAAAATTGTACGCAGAGTAAAGTTAAAATTTCAATTATACATCTTTAACTGCATAAGAATTTTTCATTTTTAAACATATATTTTCCATATTCCCACATTATTGTTCCAGGACGGAATAATTGTATTTTTTAAAATATCATTTTCCTTATGAAATAGAGAAGCGGTGTAAGAAAATTTGTGAATAGCAGCAATTTTTAAAATAATGTTAAGTAAACAATAAATCATGAGAGCAGAAAGTAATTTTCAATTTTAATTTCAAGCGAAAATGGAAAAAAATTGTCTTGTTTTTCTTTTTCCTTTAAACAAAAAAATAAAATAGATTTTCTAGCATTTTTTAAAAAATTCAACATTGTCGTACAATTTAATTTACAAATTCAATTATAATTCAAAATTATCTGATTAAAGAAAAGAAAATTAATTATTTACTGACTTAATCCGGATGAATGAAAATCCACTCAGAATACATTAAAAATTAACATGTGACAAAAAAATATATATTTAAGAACAGGATTTATTATCCAATGATATTTTCTCCAATTACCGATTTCAATTTTATCGTATAAAAAAATAGTCTTTTATCGCTTCAAAAACGCTTTTTTTTAATTATTAATTTTTTTTAATTATTCAAAAGGTTTTTTTCCATCCTTTTTTAAAAAAAGAAAAAAAGATTTTACTAGGAAATTTTTTCGTCACAATTCTTTTTATCGAAATAAATGACAGATACATAAAATTTGAAAATCAACTTTTTTATTTCTTTCATGACAACTTGAATTTAAACTTGGCTTTTTCAATTTCAAAGTAAATTGCAATAATTAATTGAGAATACAATAGAAGAATGTAAGCGTTTTGTAGAGGAATTCGAAACTTTCAGCGAACGGGATATTTAAAAGATACTAAATCGAAGCAAATCTATTTGAGCTTGCAACAAATCAAAATTCTTTGCAAGGGAAAATTAAAAAGTTTAAATATTTTTTTTTTTAAAAAAAAGCTAAATTGTTGGGAATTTTTTTCAAGTTTTATTATATTCGAAATTCTTTTAATTAATTTCATTTTTAGAAAACATAGAATTATGAAAGTCTGACTAAAATTTACTATTACTACTTATGGAAAAGTTAACAAAAAATTTCTGCCAGGAAATACTTCTGATTATTGATACCAAACAATAAAAAAATTTGGTAAACCTGACTCGAATGGACTATTACTATTGATATTCAAATTTCCAGAATGTCTGACTAGAAAGCTCTCTTACTACTGAAAACAAAAAATTTAAGAATCCTCAAAAGCCTGTTTCGAATTTATTACTACTGATTTTTTTTTTATTTATCATTTTTTGTATATTAGTAGCAAAATTTTTACTGTATATTACTCCTGATATTAAAAATTGCGGAATGTCTGGCTAAAAATCCCTTTTACTACTGATAGCAAAAAATAAAAGAACCTAGAAATTCTGTTTCACATAGAATTTTACTACTAATATTACTGTGTACAGAATTTATCACTAAGAAACATTTTTACTACTAAATTCAAAAAATTAAAGAATCACGAAAGTCTGTCTTAAACTGACTATTACTACTGATATTAATTTTGAAGTATGTATGACTAGAAAACCCTCTTACTACTGATTTGAATATTAAAAAAACTTTAAAGTCTTTTTTCAGTAAACTATTACTACTGATAGTATAGTTCGTAGAATGTCTGACTAAAAAGTTCTGTTACTACTAAAACCAAAATATTATAGAATTTAAAGTGACAGACAAAAAACTGATAATTACTACTAACGTTCACAAAATGTCTGACTAAAAAATTGAGTTACTGCTGGTAAAAAATAAAGAATGGCTGACTAAAAACTCCCCTTTCTACTCATAAAAGAAATAAAAGAACCTAGAAAGTCTGTTTCGAGTCTTTTAATATTAAAGTTTACAGAATGTTTGACTAAAAAGCCTTCTTACTACTGAAACCATAAAATTCTAGATTCTAAAAAGTCTAGAAATAGAAACTTAAAGAATTTAAAATGTCAGACTGAAACTGATTATTACTACTAATATTAACGTTACTAAAATGTCTGACAAAAAAGCCCTCTTACTACTAAATCCAAAAAATTAAAGAATCTCGAAAGTCTGACTTGAACTAACTGTTACTACTGATATTATAATTCGGAGAATGTCTGACTAAAAATCCCTCATACTACTGAATTCGAAAATGTCAAAATCTCTAAAATCGGAATTGAACTAACTGATGCTACTGATATTAACATTAGAAGTGTGTCTGACTAGAAAGCCCTTCTACTACTTAAACCAAAAAATTAAAAAAATTACATTGCCAGACAGAAATTGATTACTTCTACTAATATTAACATTTACAAAATGTCTGACTAAAAAATCCAAGTACTACTGATATAAAAAATAAAATATAGTCTGACTAAAAATCTCTATTACTACTGAAACCAAAAAAAAAAATAGTCTGCCAAAAAATCTGTATAACTACTGAAACAAAAAAATAAAATAAAGTCTGCCTAAAAATCTCTATTACTACTGAAACCAAAAAATGAAAGAATTTAAATTGTCTGACTGTAACTGATTGTCACTATGAATATTAATGTTTGCCAAACGCCTGACTAAAAAGTTGAGTTACTACTGAAACCAACTAAAGAATGTCTTGACTAAAAATCCTGGATGGCCTCTTTTAAATATTACTACTGATTTTATTTATTATTTTTTGTATTATTATTTAAATTACTACTACATATTACTACTGATAATAATATCCTCTTCATACTTAAACGAAAAATCAAAAAAAGATCGAAATTTTGTTTCAAATATTACTTTTGATTATTTATTTTTGTATTAGTGGTTGAATTCCTACTATATATTACTGCGGATATTAAAAATTTCAGAATGTCTGACTAACAAATTCAGTTACTACTGATATAAAAAATTTTTTAAAAACCTATTATTTAAGTAGATTCTTACTACTGATATTATAATTTTGTAGAATGTTTGACTAAAAAGTCCTTTTACTAATAAATACAAAAAATAAAATCTTGAAGGTCTGACTTAAACTGACTGTTACTACTGATATTAATTTCGAAGTGAGGCTGACTAGAAAGCCCTCTTACTACTGATCAGAAAAATAAAAAAATACTAGGAAGTTTGTTTCCTGTAGACTATTACTACCTATATTATAATTTGAAGAATGTCTGACTAAAAAGTTCTCTTACTACTGAAAAAAGAAAAAACCTTGAAAGTCTGTTTGAAATGAACAATTACAACTATTTTTCCTAAGGATATCAAATTAAGACAAAAAGCGAAGCAACGTTGTAATTCGTTTTTTATCTTAATGTGATATCCTTAGAAAAACTGTTACTATTACTACTAATATTAACGTGGGTAAAATGTCTGACTAAAACCCTCTGTTACCGCTGATTCAAAAAGAGTAGAAGATAACAAAAAAAAAGTTATTCAAGGTAAAATAAATTCACCTGCAAAATTCTCCTTTCGAAATTTTTTCATCCAATTGAGTTTCATAGAAAAAAATATACCACTTTTACCTTATTATATCAAAACCTTTCCGATATAATTCAAAAAGATTTCGAAAGCAAAAAAAGAAGAACTTATTTATATCCTCAATTTCAACGAAAAGCAATTTTCTTCAAACCTTTCACTACAACTATATACAAACCTAAATTTTACCTGAAGAATAACTCCCCCCCCCCCCAAAAATCTCCTTTTTTTGTTTTTTTTTTATTTTCAACCCGTGAAAATCAATTTCACTTCTAGAACTCCGTTTCTAAATAAAGGAAGCATTTATTGAGGAAGTCCGATACAGCGCGATAAATATTTCAAAGCGTGTGCCCTCGTGAGAGGAGGCACTCTAGCGATGAAAATCGTATTACATCTCGACTCACCGCTTCTTCCAGTTGGTGTCGGTGCCGATGGTGCTTTGCTGGTTGGCTCCGGAATCGGATAAATCGGATCGCAGCATTCCCTCTCGGGAAACTCACTTCCGTTGACGAGAAGACACGACACAAGAAGGAGAATGAGAATGACGGTCAGCGTAAGTTGCGCCGAACATGTCAGGATTCGCCTGACACGTGACATGGCTCAGCTCTTCAGGGATCTATCATCATATTAAAGGAGGACCTTAAAATCCTCGATGATCCTCTCTCTCAAATCCAATAGGACTACTCCCTTTTATCTCCTACACCTCAACACGTCAAATTTCATCTTGACATTTCCTTTCTCTCTCTCTCTCTCTCTCTCTCTCTTACTCACAATGTCTCTTCTCTTAACAAATCAAAATTTCTCCTTCTCTTCATTATTTCTCTCCTCTCTAAATTCTTAATTTAAAAAAAAATTACACACTCCACGCACATTAATTTTCTTATTTTCACAACTATTTTTTACGAACCCAAAAAAAGAATAACTAATAATTTTTTTTTTCAAATCAAGAACTGAACACGAATTTCAGAGACAGTATGATAAGGAAACAAAGGGTGGAATCTCACCGGTACGAAGTCGTACCAGTCTTCGATGCACGCACTCACGGAAACAAAACTACCGCGCGCGCGAAATGGAAGGAAATTTCTTTCTTTTTTTTTTTACACTCGCGAATAACACGCACGTGATTTTTTCTTAATTCCTCCAAAAAGAAAAACAAATCAAATTTTTAATAAATTAAAATTGAAGAATTTAAAAACAAAAATTAAAGAATACTGGAGGTGTATAGTGATCATTTTTGCCGGAGGAGGATGAATTTCTGATAAAAAGAATTGCAATTTGGAACAAACCGGTAGTTACGATGCGGCAAATATAAACGTCCACGTGGTTCCGCCGAGACTGACGCGCACCTCGGTGTCCCGACGCCCAATGATGGGTGGTTGTGCGATAGAGAACCACCAGAACTCTCCCTCCACGCGCCAACCATCCCCCTTTTTTCAACCTGCAACCCTAAACCACTACTACTACTACTACTACCACCACGCGAGTAGAAATTCAACGAGCAACACCGAGTGATACCGAGTCATTCCGAATGATCAAAGTATCCAGGCTATATAAGCCCCTGCTCCGCTGAACGACCCTCCTTTTTCGAACACCGTGTTCCTGACCTCGTTCCACGGTTTGTTAGGGTCGGTTACGGTGAGAAGCCTCGGGCCCTCACAAACTGACACGAAAGTCAAGTCATCGTCTGCAGATCGAAGGTCAACGCGTCTCCGAAAATTTCAATCCAAAACACTTTATAGACACTTTTATATAGTGTAAATGTGTATCGATCATTTTTCGGTCATTCACTTTTTAAACTCTTTTCTTATATACATATATAGGTATTCAAATCAAATGTGACCTTTCTTTCCGAAGAAGAAAGTTTTACTCTCTTTCTCTCTACAATAAGAATTTGTAAAAATCTTAACTAATTTCAATTTGTGATTTTTTGATTTTGAATTAGTAAATTTTACTAACAAATTAGAAATTACTATTTATTAGTAAAATTTACAAGTCAGAAAATTTGCTGAAGTTAATTACTTAATTTCAGTAGTGATAATTAGTTGTAGTCAGACATACTACCTTCTTTAAGTTTTTGATTTCAAAAGTAAAAATGCTTTTTAATCAGACATTCTGCATGTCTTATTATCAGTAGTACAATTCGAGTTTAATAGTCCATTCAATCTATACATTTCTTCATATCAGTAGTAAAGGGGCTTTTTAGTCAGACATTCTGCTAATGTTAATACCAGTAGTGAGAATCAGTTATAGTCAGACATTCTACATTCTTTAAGTTCTTGATTTAAGTATAGTAAGAGGGCTTTCTATTCAAACATTTTTAGCACGCTAATATTAATACTAATAATCTATTTAAGTCAGATTTTTTAAAAACTTAAATTTTTTCTTTATATCAATACTACAGTGGCTTTTATACAGACATTTTTTATTCTTTCCATTAGTACATGGTTGCAACAAAATGATAAATATAAAATTCCAGGTTTTTTCTATGGTTTCCAGGTCAATACTTATATGAAATTCCAGTCAAAAATTAAAAAAATTTCTGGCCTAAATAATACAGCTTCAGCTCTAAAAATTTCTTTAAATCTCTAAATAACAAAAACTTAATAAAAATTAAAAAACCAAAATTTTTCTTCTGTAGTAATTTTTATATCGCAAAAAGATAAAAACATTTTTTTAATTTTAAGTTAAAATTTTCTTAAAAAATCTTTAAACACGCAAAATTCTAGAAATTTTTTTAAAATCAAACCAAAATTAATTACTGGTTCTAAACTATTATTAGAGCAATTCCAATAATAATCTGAGTCATCAAAATTAATTTAATTTACAATTCATAAAAAGTAACCAAAGCGAACTTTATCTTCAGTTTACTAAGAACTGTTGGTCAACAAATTTCTTACTGGTCCTAAACTATTACTAGAATAATTCCAATTAATATCCGGGTCATGAAAATTAATTTAATTTACAATATAATAAAAAGTAACCACAGCCGATAATCAGCAGAAGATGAAAAATTATATTTTAATTTTAAGCGAACTTTATCTTCTGTTTACTAACAATTGTTAGTTAAAAAATATTTTTTTGGTCCTAAACTATCAATAAAACAGTTCCAATTAATGTCTGGGTCCTCAAAATTATTTTAATCACAATTCATAAAAAGTAACCACAGCCGATAATCAGCAGAAGATGAAAAACTATATTTTAATTTTAAGCGAACTATATCTTCTGTTTACTAACAATTGTTAGTTAAAAAATATTTTTTTGGTCCTAAACTATCAATAAAACAGTTCCAATTAATGTCTGGGTCCTCAAAATTATTTTAAACACAATTCATAAAAAGTAACCACAGCCGATAATCAGCAGAAGATGAAAAATTAATTTTTAAATGAACTCTTCTTTCTGTTCACTAATAATTGTTAGTCAACAAATTTTTTACTGATCCTAAACTATTACTAAAATAATTCCAATTAATATCCGGGTCATGAAAATTAATTTAATTTACAATATAATAAAAAGTAACCACAGCCGATAATCAGCAGAAGATGAAAAATTATATTTTAATTTTAAGAGAACTTTATCTTCAGTTTACTAACAATTGTTAATCAAAAAATTTTTACTGGTCCTGAACTATTACTAGAACAATCCCAATTAACGTCTGGGTCCTTAAATTTAATTTAATTCACAATTCATAAAAAGTAACTACAGCCGATAATCAGCAGAAGGTGAAAAATTAATTTTTAAACGAACTTTATTTTCTGTTTACTAAAAATTGTTAGTCAAAAAATTTTTTCTAGTTCTTATAACAATAGTTAGAACAAAATTTTCTCAAAAATCTTTAAAAACAGGCAAAATTCCAGAAATTTTTTTTAATTTGATACTATTTCCAGATTTTTTATACCTTTTTCTTAATTACATACCTTTTCCAGGATTTCCAGACTGTGGCAACCATGTAGTAGTAACATTAATTTTTAGTCAGAGATAATTTTAATTTTAATTAGTGACTGTTTGGTTCTGAATTAGTAAATTGTACTAACAAATTAGAAATTACTATTTATTAGTAAAATTTACAACTTCAAAAGCAAAAAGTCAGTTACTTTATTGAAAATTGTAATTTTGCAAAATTTAAAAGATTTTTATAAAATAAAGTAAGAAATTTTAATAAAGTTGATTTGTCAATAATAATATTTGTTCACGAAATTTTTAGTTTCTTTTGAAAAAAAAATTATGAAATTTCTGTTTTTTAATCTGCAAATTTTAATTTATGAACTAATAGGTATTCTATTCAAAACTGACTAAAACCACCCATTACCACTAATATAAAAATTGTAGAAATTGAAACAATTACTAAATTATATCACTGATTAAAATTCACTATTTTTTACCTACAATATCTATATATATATACCAAAATCAATAAAGTGGAGTTACATAATAATTGGAAATTATTTCGAAGCAAGCACAATTTTTAAGAGAAAAACCTGTCATAAACTATAAATCTCTATAAATGGATACAATATATGAGAAAAAAGAAAAATATTGAAAAGAATAATGTCAATATGAATATGTCCTTCTGTCTTTTCTGAAAGGAGGATTTTATTGTAAGAAGATCAAAATCGTGAATAAAGTAACATGATATTCATAAAATATACATATACTTTCATTGTATATATTTAATATTTAATATTTAATATTTAATATTGATAATTGGATTTGAGTACGAATATTAAACTGATTTTACGAAAACCAGTATAATTAATAATTAATCAAATTCATAACTTATTCAAAGAAAGAAAAATATTTCTAATTTACTACCTATTAATTAAAGACTGAATTGCAGATGTCTACAGTAATTTTATTAATTAAATAATAATAATCCTTTTTTACTAAATTAATAATTTTCTACTATTCTCAAGTTAATAATTTCAATTAAATCAATAAATTCATTTTATTTCATTATTCAGTTCATTTTATTATTAAATGAATCATAGTAACTATAGTATTTATTTAATTACCCTATTTTTAGTAGGAATCTAATAAATAAAATCTTTTTAGAAAGAAGCTTAGAAATAAATATCGTAAACTAATAATTTACTACTAAAATTTTTACTATTAACTGAAAATTAATGATACATTTCTACGCAAATAATTAATGGTTAAACATTAACAAAAATATTACTATTTATACTATTATTATTATAAAATAATACGAATACTATTTATAGGAAAATAGTAAAAACCTAAAAAAATAAATCGAAAATAAAATGCTAATAAAAAATATATCACAACAAAAATAAAACAAATTTTTCTCACTTTAGTGCTGAAAAAATAGTTCGCACAACAAAAATTACCGAAAATTAAAATGTAACTTCATTGATATTTTGAATATTTTGGTGGAATGTGTATATGTGTATAATGATAACGATCGATTTACAAATTACATTTAGCTTGAGGGCAGGTGTGGTATATTAATTTCCCACATAATAGAATAATTATACTTGTTTTCGAAACGAAATTATATATTCTAATGAAATATAAAAATTAATCATACATGTAGCCACATCATTTAAATATAAAACCGAAAGGAAAAGTTACTTGTCATTTTACTCGACTTTTTATATCTCGATATTTTCATTACTCGAATTTAAAATTCGAATTCTTTCTTTAAATTATTTACTCTATTTTCAAATGTAGAATTAAAATAACATTTTTTATCTGACTTACCGATAGTATCAGCAAAGCACCAACGATGTCCACTCCTGCATTTCGATCCTTCTGTCTTAAAATGAAGTTATCCGTCTTCAAACACTGCACTATGATAAATAAAGGAAAAAGAATTTATTTTTAATTTTGCAATTTTAATTTAATAATATTAAAATTTTAATTTATAGTATTAAAAAAATATTTGAAACTATAAAATAAATAAACTCGGGTAGTAAAAGTAACAAAAATTACAAATAAAAGTATTTTAAACTAAATAATTCAGAAAAAAATATTTTAAACAAGAATATTGTAAGCAAAAATATTCCAAACGAAAATATTTTAAAACAAAAGTATTTTAAACAAAAATATTCCAAACAAAAATACCCCAAAGAAAATATCCCAAAGAAAAATATTCCAGCAAAAAAAATATTGCAAACAAAAATAAAAAATATATATTCCAAATAAAAATATTCCGAAAAAAAATATTTTAAACAATAATATCCCAAAGAAAAATGATCCAGCAAAAAAAATATTGCAAACAATAATAAAAAATATATATTCCAAATAAAAATATTCCGAAATAAAATATTTCAAACAAAAATATCGCAAAGAAAAATGATCCAGCAAAAAAAATATTGCAAACAAAAATATTCA